GTAAAACAAATTCTTCTTTATTTAGAGAGTGTTGTTATCAAAAATATATATATAAACCAAAACTTTTTAAAGATCCTGATAGTGAATATTATAATTATTTGTTAATAAATATTGCAAAACTTAATTCACAAACAGAAAATCGTGACTATGAAAGACTTAAAGAAAAGATAAAAAATACTTTTGATTTAAATTTATTAAAAACAGAAGGTCAAATTGATAATAAAATAGAAAATTCTTTAACATTAACTACAACTCAAAAAGATGATTTACAAAAAAAACAAATTGAACAAGAAAGAATAGTTCAAAGATATAACAATCTAAGAGAAAAAATCAATGCTAAAACTAATATAGAACACCTTAGAGATCTTCAATATTGGCATTAACAAATTACTATTGATGCAATACTACCAAATAATTTAAAAGAACAACTTAATAATATACATAAAGAATGTTTATCTTTATTATTATATAATCAAAAATATAATGAATTTGTAGAACAAATACGTAATTAGAACTCTCCTCTGCAGATCCTCGTACCAATTTTTAAGCTAAAGAAAATATACAAAAACAACAACAAGTCTACTAGCTAGCAAGGTTCCAAGACTTAAGCAAAAAGAAACAGCACCAAAATCTACCTAGAAGTATTTAGAAACACATCTGGTCTAACTCTACGACAAGAGTAGTAGAGACCAAATAGACAACTTTCGTAAGAAAATTTTAGAAAAACAGAATTTTTGGGGAATCGGCTTTGACCCTATAATGCAGATCACTGTAACAACAAACAAACACGTAACACGTCAAGCCACCAAAAAAGTAAACAGCGTGACCGATCAACAACCGGTATTATACAAACAATAATTTTCACGTGTATCGATATCTTATATAGTATTACGTGGAAAAAAAAAAAACAGAAAAGTTCATAGAATCGGTACAAAATGGCAAATTTAGAGGATTTCAGAGGCTTTTTCAAACAAATAGAGAGAGAAAGAAGTATCTTATATGACAAACAGTATGCAACAATATAGCATGAAGATGTATACGTAGCAGAGTACTTTGGCACAAATGACATTCACCTAATTGCAGTTGTACACAATATAATCGAATACTTTAAATGGGCTGGAAGCAAAGAAGCTAGAGACCAGCCTCTATCTAAAGAGAAGAAGAAACTTCTCGGGCATGACACAGACATCGAAATGCGTCTAAATACATATGTAAAGGGCAAAAATAGCCCAATAATGATGGATTTCTGCTACACTATTGCAAATAAAATAAGCAATATACCAGATACAAATATAGGTGTTAACAATAGTGTCAACAATATTGTAGCGGAAAACCCACGCAAAAGATTACTCAAGGAACAAGAAAGCAATAGTGTTATAACAGAAAATGATGTCAAAGAAATAAGAGCTGTCTTGTTAGAAAATGAGGTGGACACGACAGACTATAGTCTAGAGAGGCAGATTATCGAAAAGGCATCAAAGAGAGAAAGGCACCAAAACAAAAGATATAGCAAAAAACACAAAAGCTGAGAAGATATTTATAGTTCAGTATGGGCT